AGGCATGGATGAGCTTGTGTCAAAATCTGCCTCTTACCTCTTCTTAATTTAGAACGACTTGATCTCTCTGGGCCTTAGTTTTCTCATCTGAAAAATGAGATAATAATAATACCAACCTTATCAAGGTGTTGTGCAATTCATTGAGTAAATGAGCATAGGATGTCGAGAACCTGGGCTGGCAGAGTGGAAAGTGCCCAGATAAGTGCTTTGGTTATATTTTCTGGGTCTCCAGTATGCCCGCTGTGATGTTTTTGTGAATTTTCTAAATTCCTTTTTACTCTTGGCATTTTTTTCTCTGCAGTATTAGAGGTTGCATTATATAAGTTTGTCACTTCCTAATCAAGCAGTATGCATTAAGACGGCCTCCTTCTGACTTTGAGGGGCCACTATGGCATGGCATCCTGGGACTTGAAGAACTAATCTGCATACCTTCTTTCTAGCTCTTCATAATTTTGAAGAGATACCTGTTCTCTTTGTTGTTTCTCCTCTAAGTCTTCACCTTTCCAGGGTGGAAAATGGGTGCTTCCTTTAGTTTCCTAGAGTAATACGAGTCAACCATTAACCGCAGAGTTTGGAGAGGAGTGGGAGGGAAGAATTGGGGGGCAGGGGATGTGTCCCTCTGCTGAGCTCTTGATTCCAGCTCTTTACCTTGGCCTAACATCTGGAGATTCCAAATGGTTCTGCAGAGCATGTACTGTCCGTGGTCACTGCCTCTGGGCAGAGTGGGCCCTCGAGCACTCCCCCTGCCTACAAGTGAATGCTGGCAGCTGAGCAGGGGGAAAGAATGCTGTAGCTGCTGGAGGTGAACATGTACCACCCACTCTACCTGCTCACAGGGGCCTCTCAACTTGGAGGTGTCCTGAGTCAGCTTCCCAAAGAAGCAGACTTGTGGAGCCAGAGTGACTTGGGCCCCAGCTACAAGGACAGTTGATTTTAAGATGGGTGACATCTAAGCCAGGTGCAGTAATCCCAGCACTTTGGGAGGCCAAGGCGGGAGGATCACTTGAGGTCAGGAGTTCAAGACCAGCCTGGCCAACGTGGTGAAACCCCATCTCTACTAAAATTACAAAAATTAGCTGGGTGTAGTGGTGTTTGCCAGTAGTCCCAGCTACTGGTAGGCTGAGGTAGGAAGGATCACTTGAACTCGGGAGGTGGAGGTTGCAGTGAGCGGAGATAGCGCCATTACACTCCAACCTAGGCGACAGAATGCGACTCCATCTCAAAAATAAAAAATAAAGAAATGATGAGGGACATCTATTATATCCTTCTTTAGGCCTTCCTCTGCTTTTCTTCCTTTCAGGCCAACCAGGATCTCCCAACCCGAAGACAGCAGGCAGCCCAATAATGTGATCAGACAGCCTTTGGGTCCTGATGGGTCACAAGGCTTCAAACAGCGCAGATAAATGCAGGCAAGAAAAGATGCCGCCGTTGCTGCCGTCACCGCCTCCTGGGTCGTCTGCCACGGGTTGCACTGCCGTGGCAGACAGCTGGACTTGAGCAGAGGGAACGACCTGACTTACTTGCACTGTGATCCCCCTTGCTCCGCCCACTGTGACCTTGAACCCCATGCACTGTGACCTCCCCCCTTCTCCCCCTTCCCACTGTGATTGGCTCATCCACAAGGGCTGTCCCAAGTCAATGGAAAGGGAAAGGGTGGGGGTTAGGGGAAGGTTGGGAGGACCCACCAAGGACTCAGAGAGTCAGACAGTGCCACTTGGCCACTTGGGGTAAAGCCAGTGCCAGCAATAACAGTTTATCATGCTCATTAATTTGGGATTTCAAAACACAAATGAAAACTCACACCCACCCACCCCCAAGTGCATGTCTCCATCACTTAAAAAGTAAGTTCCATTTGAAAATATCCTTTCTTTTTTTTTTTTCTTCCTATTTTTGTTTGTTTATACAAATATCTGATTTGCAAGAAAAAGTGCATGGGAGGGGTTTTAGTGGTTTAACGAATTTTTAATTAAGAAAGGGTAGTTTGGTAGTCTACTTAAAAATGTTTCTGGGAAATTCACTAGAAACATTAACCAATAGGATTTTGGTGAGCTTAGCTTCTGTATTCCTACTGCCGCCCGGAAAAGGGGCAGGGCTCTGCAGCCGCCAGGACAGATGAGCACCCCATGCCTATACCTCCCTCCCCGAGCTGACTCCCAGGGCATCTGGGCCTTGCCTGGAGACTGGGCTAGCTCTGTAGGCTCGGAGAGCCTGGGGAGGGTGCCAACCCCACCTCTAGTATTTTGGGAGATAGGGAAAGTGAACAGACTTCCCCTTCCCATACCCCTCAGGGTGGTTCCCTACCAGCCAGGCTTACTACTAGAAGAGAGCAGAGCGCCAGGGAGTGAGACTGCATCCCTGGGCTTGGAAGTGAAGGAGAGGAGACTTGTTTAGTATTTTGCCGTCGGCACAAGGAAAACCAGGAGAGAGTCTGCCTCCAGGACTCTGAGCCTTCTGCTTCATATGTTCAGAAGGTGGATAGGTCTTCCCACTCCAGCATGGCTTGAACTCTTAGGGGTCTGCATTGCTCCATCTCCATTGATGGCCCCAGCTCAGTAACTATACCTGGTACATTTCCTGTGTGCAATCAGTACCTTGAAGGCAGAACATTCTGAATAAAGTTGGAAAAAGAACAGCTTTGCTTTGCAAAGATTGATGACAGACTGGTTCCTCAGAGGCCTAGGCTCCCATCACCCCTTTTTCCAGAGCGAGGGCCTGGAATGAAGGCAGTTTATCCTCTGTCCCTGGAGCCTAGGGTTTGCTTTGGCTCCTTGAGGTGGAAGAGACTAAGAGGGCAGCTGCCCAGAGTGGCTCTGTGTGTACCTGGTTCCTCTCAGGCTTCCTGATCCCTTCCATTGCACTGCGCCTTATCCCTCAGCCAGCCAGACGGCCTCCTTGCTCCTGACCAGCAGATACGTTTCGGGGTGGTTGGTGTGGTTTTGCGATGAGGGCAGCACGTGGTGGCCAAGGTGGCAAGCTGAGTCTCACAGGCTCACTCCACCGCTGGTTCCCTGTGGGAATGGTGGGCCAGGCCCAGCAAGCCATGCCCCACCACGTCCTCCCCTCTGGAGGAAGCGCCAGCTGCCAGCCAAGTCAGCAGCTAGTCCACAGCACAGCCTTATAACCGTAAAGCCAGGCATTGCCCATGAGCAGAGCTGGAAGCAGAGCTTCAGTCAGTGAGAGGGAGGATTACCTTCAGGAGAAGGCAAGGAAGAAAATTGGCTGCTATCTTTATAGTTCCACTGCCCTAACCAAGTGTCCACATTCTAAATGTATGGTGTCCATCCCTCATGTAATAGTGGTTTCCCACCCAAAGTGAGACTTTCCTTTTAATTGGAGAAGGGTATAGAGGTAGTCCAGGTGGGAAGGCCAGAAGTGCTGGTTGCCCAGCCATTGGGACCACCTGTTCTTGCCCCACTACCCTCTAGTAGGGGCCAAAGTAAAGGCTGGTTGGTGGGTGTCTGTGGATTGAGGATGTGGCAGGGACTGGTCCTCCCACCTCCCTCTGGCCAAAGATGGGCTTTGCCCGCTGTGTGCCTGTCACCACCCACCAGCAGTCATGCCCTGGGCTTCCCAAATGGAGAGGTAGCAGGCAACATTTTTAAAACGAAAGAAAACAGGAAACTGTATTGTGTTAGGGGGAGGCGGGAGGGGAGATGAGGAAACGGTTTGGATTTTGTGTGTGGGAGGGTATTTTTTGGGGGGTAGTTGTAACTTTCCTAAGTGCTTTTTTCCCTTTTCTTTTTTAAAGTAAGTTGCAGGCTTTGGCTTGGAAAACCCCAGGGGGATGGGGGACAGAAACCTGAGGCTGCTGCCCCTTTATCTGCCTTCACAGTACTGTCCCCTTCCCCCAGCTCCTCCCTGACCCCATGGGCCAGGCCTCAGACCTTCCAGCTAACCGCTTCCCATGAGCCACTACTCTGATGTCAGCCTATAACCAAAGGAGCTGGGGGGTCCAGGCCTGGTGACCAATCTTTCTCAGCCCACTCAATCAGGGTGCTCCCCACCTGCAGGCAGGAGGCAACACCCTATCTGCTACCATCAGCCCCTTCCAGAGCCCATCTGCCCCGCCCAGCCCTGCCCTGCCAGCCCAGCCATACCCTGTTCTGCCCCATCTTGGGGGTGCCCTGCTCAGGGATGGGCTGGCAGGGCTGCACCCAGCCTCCCTGGTAAGCAGAGACTCAAGAAACCTCTGGGGTCCTGTTTTCTGGTTGTGTGATCCCAGGGGTGCACATGGGCCCCTGAACAGAAGGGTATGGGAGGGAGGGCCGCACCCCTGCAGTCTTACTCTGCTGGTGTAGCGGGCAGCTGCCCACTCCCACCCCGTTGGCAGATTAAGCATTTTATAAATTGTATTTTAAATACATGTTTTAAACTTGTCAGATCTTTGTCCTCATTTCAGTCCCCGCCCTCTACCTCTTGCTGTGGCCGCTTATTTAACCCTGGGGGGTTTCCCTCTGCCCAGTTGCAGGGAAAGACTGTCTTTGGTAAAATACTAGGCTGGGTGGTATGTGGGGTGAGGGGAAAGGACCCACCCCTTAGGGCTCCCAGACAAGGAGAGCTCTGGGTCCTGGGGCTCTGTGGGGGGAGCATGGCAGAGGCCACCTCCTGCTCTTACACAGGGCCTGTCTTGGAGCCAGTGGAGAGAGAGAACGGCTGCTTTTGTGGGGCTCCCAGTCCAGAGGGGGAAGCGCTCTTCTGAGGAGGGGCCTAGCCCGGTGCTTTGAGAAGGCACAGAAGGTCAAGACTTTGCATGCAGGGGCACCTGTAGCAGAAACCCCAACCCTGGGCAGGGCTTCGAGGTGGAACCCTACACTCAGAGCCCAGGGGTGGCTGGGGTGACAGCTTGAGGGCCTTCCTTGGCAAGAGGCACAGAGGCTGAAGTTATTGGTGTTTTTATTAGCTTACCAGGCCACAAAAGCACATTCCAGCAGCAGCTCCTGTCTGGTGGCCCATCTGTCTGCAGGCCTTGAGCAACTGTCCAGAGTCAGGCCTCCAGAGGGTCAGTGGGTTCGAGAAGGCACAGAGCTGGGCCACTTTCTGCTGTCAGAGTTGTGTTCCCTGGGGAGAGGAATGGGGCAGAAGGGTGGGAAACATTTGGCCCTTTCCCTCTCTGCCAGTACATGAATCATCCGTGCATGCCCAAGTGAGGAGAGAGAGGAGGCCTCCCCTCAGAAATGATGGAGCCAGCAGTCGGGCTTAGGGGCCTGATTCCAAGTCCAGGGCACCCTTCCCCAGCGGCCTGGAGGGGGACTGCTGTGGGAGACGCTCCCCTCTGCCCAGGTGCACAGTCCACTAGTCCTAATGTTGAACCATAGGGAACTCGTAGCCCTCAGTTAGGTGCCACTGAGTCTCGGACACAGGAAAGCAGAAGCACTCTGGCTTCAGTGGAACAATCTACCGGGTACACAGGCCCTCAACAAAGGTTTTTTTTCTTTGCCTTTCACCCTTTCTCCTCCCTGGAATAAGCAGCCTCTCAGGTATGGTCTCTTAGAAAGATGGATTCCCAGGCATTAGGCCATGGGCCTCTTAAGGAAGGATCTGGAAGGGCCTAGGCTGGGGCCCTTTCTCTGGGCACCCACCTGTTTCCTTGAGATCGTGACTGGAAGAAGGGGCTACGGATGTCAGGATCCAGGCCAGGGGTTGTGCAGTGGTCTTGCACATAGTGGTTGGTCGGCTTCCTGCGGACCATCTTCTTGTCCATCCGTGGGCAGAGCGGGATGCAGGGCACCTGGGCATAGGGGCTCTGCAGGTTGGGAGCTGGTGAAGAAGGAGGCAGAAGGGGGAATGCTTCAGAGCACGCCTAGCCTTGGGAAGCAGGCAGATTGAGGTGAAATCCTGGCTTTGCTACATAATGGACTAGGCACTTTGGGGCAAGTCACTTAACCTCTCTGAGCTTCTGAGCTGGAGGTGATAGTGGTACACACCTCACAAGAGTTGATGATGAGGATTAAAGGAGAAATATAGGCAAAGCACTCAGCTCTGTGCTGCACACAGAATAAGAGCTGGTAACAGCTTAACAAGGAGCAGAGGTCTTTGTGACGGGTGCTGGCAAAGTCTAGTAGGCATACTCTAGAAAGACTGCAAAGCTCCTATTCTGTTACTTGGCACACAGTAGGAGTCTAATAAATGGTACCTGGGGAAGGGAGGCAGGCTTGCCCAGTGGAAAGAGCATAGGTTTTGGGGTCACACCTGGATATAAACACCCCTTTCCAAAACACACTAGCTAGGGGCATTGGGCAAGTTGCTTAACTTCATCAGTTTCTTTTTTTTTTTTTTTTTGAGATGGAGTTTTGCTCTTGTTGCCCAGGCTGGAGTGCAATGACATGATCTCAGCTCACTGCAACCTCCGTCTCCCGGGTTCAAGCGACTCTCCAGCCTCAGCCTCCAGAGCAGCTGGGATTACAGGTGCTCGCCACCACGCCCGGCTAGTTTTTTAGAGATGGGGTTTCACCATGTTGACCAGGCTGGTCTCGAACTTCTGACCTTAGGTGCCCACCTTGGCCTCCCAAAGTGCTGGGATTACAGGCGTGAACCACCATGCCCGGGTCAGTTTCATTTTTCTAATCTGTAAAATGGGGTGAATACATGATTATAATCGAGTATTAAATTCCAGAGCATCTGCAAAGGGCCTAGCACAGTGGGCACTCAATAAACAGCTGGGATTGCCAGTCTCTACAGCTGTTCTTTCTCGGTCCTGGCTCATGGGACCAACCTGTGCTCAGGCTAAGGCAGGAGGGGAGGAGTCCAATGCAGGAGGCCACTTTCATAGGCCTGGAAGGAAAATAGTGATTATCAGCCTGTTTTCCGATATACACAGTTAAGCCGAAAGTGGGAAACTGGCCTCTCAGCTCCCTGGGCCTGGCTGCCTGAGGGCCCAAGGAGAGGAAGCCAGATGGGCAAGACAGCAGAGCCCCAACCCTAGCCCATCCCACCCTGCCCAGGGGCCTCACCATAGTTCTGCTGCTTCAGCCGGCTGAGGATACTGAGGACCTTTCGTTCTGGGACTTCTGAGCTCTCTTCTTGCTGGGGGTTATAGGGAAGCTGCTTCTGCAACCGCAGCCGGCCTATGGCCGCTTCCATCTCCTGGGCCTTGCAGGTGCCTTCCTTCAGCTTTTTCTGGTAGTAGCTGGGGAGGCAGTGCCCACCCATCTCAGCCTGGCTGTGTTTAATTCACCCTTCTCCTCCTCAGCCCTATCTCTCTGGCCTGCTCTGGAGCAGGAACACAAGCCCAAGAGTCAGGAAACCTGGATTCTAGTCCCAGCTCAGCCCTTAGCTTTCTGTGACCATGAGCAAGTCACTGCCCTGCTCTGGACCTTAGTTGCCCTGTGTAAAATGGAGGAAAGAGGTTCTCTCTACTCTGTCAATGCAAGTGACTTGACTTCTCTGAGCTTTGAGTTTCCATTGGGTAAAACAGATAAAACAGTTCACATGCCTTAGGATTAAATAACAAGGATGAATTAACACAGCCTCAAGCACGCAGCATGGTGTCTGGCTCACGGAAAATGCTTTGTACATGTTACCTATTATTTTGGGGAGGGGCGTGGTGGGGAGACAAGAGTCTCACTCTGTTGCCCAGGCAGGAGTACAGTGGCGTGAACATGGCCTCACTACAGCCTTGAACTCCTGGGCTCAACTGAGCCTCCTGCCCTAGCCTCTCGAGTAGTTGGGACCATAGGCACCAATCACCACGCCCAGCTAATTTTTTTATTTTGTGTAGAGACGTGGTCTCGCTGTGTTGCCCAGGCTGGTCACAAACTCCTTGCCTCAAACTGTCCTTCCACCTTGGCCTCCCAAAGTGTTGGGATTACAGGCATGAGCCACTGCATTACCTATGATTACCTATGATTTTATCACTGATACATTTACTTAGATGTGCAAGTACTTATCTGTGCAATTAACTCCTGCTCATCTTCCATATTTCAGGTTAGGGACTCTCTGCTCCAGAAAGTCTTCTCTGTCGTATCCCCACTCCTACCCTACAGAGTAACTAGGCTCCTGCTGGAGGCCCCTGCAACCTGTAGTTACCCAATTATATACCCCCTGCAACCCGCTTGATTTTCTTAACTCACTGCTTGTCTTTTCCCCCACTAGACTGCGACATCATTCATTCAGTAAGTATTCACTGAGTGTTCACTGTGTCCTGGCCACTCTTCTAAGTGATTGGAAAAGAGTGAAGGAGACATCCACACAGTGTCCCTGTATCATAGCCTCAGCCCCACCTCTTACCCCAGCCATCTACTAACACCTTGGGCCAAGGGTGCTGCAGTGGCCCCTTTCACACAGGCTTCAGCTAACTTTGCACAGGGACGACCCTATGGGTCCCACCTCAGACGTGAGCCTATTGCTTCCTGCCCCAGGGATTCTCTGACACAGGGGATTCTCAGAAGTGCAGGGGAGTTAAGCACCTGTGGGGCACCTTACTAAAGGTGTTAGTAGATGAGCTGTACAGGCTTTTCCCTTTCTTCTCCTGGCAGTTCTGAGCTGCCTTTTTTTTTTTTTTTTTTTTTTTTTTGAGATAGGGTTTCGCTTTTGTTTCCCAGGCTGGAGTGCAGTGGTGCAATCTCAGCTCACAGCAACCTCCGCCTCCTGGGTTCAAGCGATTCTCCTGCTTCAAATTCCCAAGTAGCTGGAATTACAGGCATCCGTCACCACACCCAGCTAATTTTTTGTATTTTTAGTAGAGACTGGGGTTTCATCAGGTTGACCAGGCTGGTCTTTTCTTTTGAGACGGAGTCTCGCCCTGTCGTCCAGGCTGGAGTGCAATGGCGCAATCTCAGCTCACTGCAACCTCCGCCTCCCGGGTTCAAGCGATTCTCCTGCCCCAGCCTCCTGAGTAGCTGGGATTACATGCCCAGCTAATTTTTTGTATCTTTAGTTTAGACAGGGTTTCAACATGTTGGCCCAGGCTGGTCTCAAAATCCTGACCTTGTGATCCACCTGCCTTGGCCTCCCAAAGTGCTGGGATTACAGACGTGAGTTACCACACCCAGCCCTGAGCTGCCATTCTTAGTTTCCTCAGAAGATTCTAGGAGGCACTTGACTCAGTAACACATCCTTGAATTGGCTCCTCCTTCTTTGCGGCATCCCTTCCCTTATTCCTGCCTCCTGGGATCGTTTCCCACATCAGAGTCAGTGAAGGGGTGGCCAGCCCCTCCACACCTGTGGGTGTTTCTCGTCTGGTGGAACGAGAGACTTGAGAAAAGAAAGAGGGCCGGGCGCGGTGGCTCAAGCCTGTAATCCCAGCACTTTGGGAGGCCGAGACGGGTGGATCACGAGGTCAGGAGATCGAGACCATCCTGGCTAACACGGTGAAACCTCGTCTCTACTAAAAAATACAAAAAACTAGCCGGGCGAGGTGGCGGACGCCCGTAGTCCCAGCTACTCGGGAGGCTGAGGCAGGAGAATGGCGTGAACCCGGGAGGCGGAGCTTGCAGTGAGCCGAGATCCGGTCACTGCACTCCAGCCCGGGCGACAGAGCAAGACTCCGTCTCAAAAAAAAAAAAAAAAAAAAGAGAGAAAAGAAAGAGACACAGAGACAAAGTATAGAGAAAAGTGGGCCCAGGGGACCTGTGCTCAGAGACGCGAGACCCATGCCGGCACTATTGTGAGTTCCCTCAGTATTTATTGATCATTATCTCTACCATCTTGGAGAGGGGGATGTGGCAGGACAATGCGGTAATAGACAATACGGTAATACACAATACGGTAATACACAATACGGTAATACACAATACGGTAATAGTGGGGAGAGAGTCCGCAGGAAAACGTGAACAAAGGTCTGTGTCATAATTAAGTTTAAGAAAAGGTGCTGTGCTTTGATGTGCACATACACAGACACAGCAGTGGTGGGTTAAAGAGCAGTATTGCCGCTAGCACGTCTCACCTCCTGCCCTAAGGCGGTTTTCTCCTATCTCAGTAAATAGAACATACAGTGGGTTTTACACCAAGACATTCTATTCCCAGGGACAAGCAGGAGACAGATGACTTCATCTTATCTCAACTGCAAAGAGGCCTTTCTCTTTTCACTAATCCTCCTCAGCACAGACCAGTCAGGTCTTTCCCTTCCCACGAGGCCATGTCTCAGGCTATCGCATGGGGAGAAACCTTGGTCAATACCTGGCTTTCCTAGGCAGAGGTCCCTGTGACCTTCCGCAGTGTATTGTGTCCCTGGGTACTTGAAATTAGAGAATGGTGATGACTTTTAACAAGCATACTGCCTTCAAGCACTTTTTTAAACAAAGCACATCCTGCACAGCCCTAAATCCATTAAACCTTGAGTCAACACAGCACATGTCTCTGCAAGCACAGGGTTGGGGCTAGGGTTGCAGATTAACAGCATCTCAAGGAAGAAGAATTTCTCTTAGTATAGAACAAAATGGAGTCTCTTATATCTACTTCTTTCTACATAGACACAGTAACAATTTGATCTTTCTTTCTTTTCCCCACAGTCAGACCATAAACAAATAAATAAAAATACAGGCCGGGCATGGTGGGGTTCATGCTTGTAATCCCAGCACTTTGGGAGACCAAGGTGGGAGGATCACTTAAGCCCAGGAGTTTGAGACCAGCCTGGGCAACACAGTGAGACACCCTACAAGAAATTTTGAAACTAGCCAGGCATGGTGACATGTGCCTGTAGTCCCAGCTACTCAAGAGGCTGACACAAGAGGATTGCTTGAGCTGGGAGGTCAAGGCTGCAGCGAGCCGTCATCATGCCACTGCACTGCGGCCTGGGCAACGACAGAGCAAGACCCTGTCTCAAGAAAAATGCCATTTTAGGAGTGCTGGGTGCCCTGAGGAAAAGTAGAAGGGTGGGAGGTAGCGATAAGGGACTATTTTGCTCAAAGTGGTAAGCAAAGGTCTCAGAGGTGACATTTGAACAGGATGGCGGAGGAAACAAACTGAATGGGTATCAGGAGGAAGAGTCTTCAGGCAGAGGAGTGGCCTCTGAAAAGGCTGGGAGGTGTAGGAAAGAGCTTGGGACAGCAAGGAGACTGGAGAGGCTGGGGCCTGATGTGTGAGTGGTGGAGAGGAAGAGATACGGGCAGTGAGATGGCAGGGCCATAGCATCTGGGGCTTTGTAAGCAGTGATGAGGGGTGGGCATGCTACTCAGAGTTTGGGAAGCCTTAGGGCTTAAACTGATGGCTCTGCTAGGGCCTTTGCCTATCTTTGGGGCCTAGGATTTGCGGTTTTAATGGGCCTCATACATAGAAGATAGAAAACTAATTCCAGGGCCCTCATGTAGTGCAAGGTTGGATCTAGATCACTTGTATAAAACTGAAACTCCCAAAAGGCAACACTCTGAGTGAAACAGATGGACTAGAAAATAACTTCACCCCTCAGGAGCCAACAGGACACAGCAGAGTGTGTGCAGCTTTCTCAGTCACAATTTCAGAGGAAATCCTTTGCTCTCTGCTTCCTCTTTTCCCCTTCTTGAGGGCTTGAATTCAGGTGTGTTGCTGATAAGTTGGTTTAGCATTGACTAGGGAATAGTGGAACAATGAATTGGAAACAAACTCGGTGCCTCGGTAACTTTGTCTTTCTGCCTGCTTCCTCCGAACTGTCAGTATAAGAGAGTAAACTCCTGTCTTTTTGAACTACAGTGTATTGGGGTCTATTTCTTAACTAAGACATGAGCCTAAAATTCTATACCCAGCTAAACTGTCCAGTTAGTATGAGGATAGAATAAACACATTTGTCATCATAGATAATATTACCTCCCATGCGTCCTTTCCCAAGAAGCTACTGGAGGACATGTTCTTCCAAAGTGAGAACATAAACCAAAAAAGAAAAAGATGTGATTTCAGAAAGCAGGAGATCCTGGCCAGGTGCAGTGGCTCACACTTATCATCCCAGCACTTTGGGAGGCTGAGGCAGGAGGATCAACTGAGGTCAGGAGTTCAAGACCAGGCTGGCAAACATGGTGAAACCCGTCTCTACTAAAAACACAAAAATTAGCTGGGCGTGGTGTGGTGCATGCCTGTAATCCTAGCTACTGGGGAGACCGAGGCAGGAGAATCGCTTGAACCCAGGAGGCGGAGGTTGCAGGGAGCCGACATGGCGCCACTGCACTCCAGCCTGGGCAACAAGAGTGAAACTCAGCCTCAAAAGAAAAAGAAAGCAGG